GGCCCTGTGTCTGTGACCCACCCCGTGTCCCGTGGGGACAGAGGCAGGACAAGGGCCGTGGCCCCGGCCGAGCCCCAACAGCCTCTCCGTGCCCTAGGTCTTCTATTACTCCACGAGCATCTTCGAGAAGGCGGGGGTGCAGCAGCCCGTGTATGCCACCATCGGCTCCGGCATCGTGAACACGGCCTTCACCGTGGTGTCGGTGAGTCTGCCCGGGCCCCACCTCCGGTCCGCTGCGGCGCAGGGGGCCCAGGGGGCCCAGGGCCTCGCGACCCAGTGGCAGCGTGTGCTGTGAGCCAGGCGGGTGTCGGGTTTCTCCTAAGCGCCGGCTCCTCTCATCCTCGGTCACGCTCATTACTCAGTGAAACCGCGCGGGGCGCTGACGCTCACGGAAGCGCAGCGGCTCACCCGGGGTGGCAGCCAGGATGCGCCCTGTCCGGCTCTGGGTGGGCCCCGCCGTCACCCCGTCCTGCTGCCTGGAGCCAGCTCTTTGCCCCTCGGGTCCCACGTGGTCCCTTGGCCGAGCCCCGGGGGGAGGCAGTACAGTCTTCCTGGGTGTCTGCGCCGCCGCGTGGCTTTGCCAACACCTGGGGCGAGCCTCTGGGTGCGGCGGGGTCACCGACATGGTCTCTGCCCACAGCTGTTCGTGGTGGAACGCGCCGGCCGGCGGACCCTGCACCTCATAGGCCTGGCTGGCATGGCGGGCTGTGCCGTGCTCATGACCATCGCACTGGCGCTGCTGGTGGGTTATGGCGCCGGACGGGGTGGGGGGGGCGCCCACGAGAGCTCCCGGTCCCACACACGCGGCTGGTGGCATCCAGAGCCCGGGTGGGGGCTGCCCTCTCCTCCTCCCCCCACGGGCTCGGGGCTCACCTTCCAGCCCCCGAGGCCATCCCCTTCCACCCACTCCCCTCTGGTCTCCCATGGGCTCCTCCCCGGTGGGTGCTTTCTCACCACAGCACCTCTGGCCCAGGACCCAAATCCCTCTCCCCAGGAATTGCTCTGCCAGGAAAGCCTTTCAGGATCTTCCTCCCGGGCCTTCGTTCATCTTCCGAACAGCCCTAGAAAGTAGGACCCACTTCCCCACCAAGTCATGGAAGCGTGCCATCTCTCGGCACCCACCACTGCCCCGTGTAGTCCAGTTAGTATCCCATTATGCAAGTGAGGAAACGTAGGCCCAGTGAGGTTAGGAACGCAGCAGATAGAGGACAGAGCCAGGAGCCGACCTCAGGCCTGCCGGCCCCAAGCCTGTGGCTCTAACCTCTGTGGGAACCGTGTGCCACCCACTTTCCAGGCACGAACGCTCATTTGTCCATCCTCTGGTCAAGGAAGCCAACGGTATGGTCATTTTTAACACCTGCCCCCAGCAAAGCTCTTCCACATGATTCGGCTTCAGGCAGACAGCTCTGCATCCAGAGCCGGGACCGCAGGGACCTTAGCACCTTCCACATGCACAGCAGGTTACCATTCCCAGAGGGAATGCTCGAGCTCACGCTCAGTCCTACAGGACTTAGAGCTTCTTTCAGATGAGGGAAGCAGGACCCAGTGGAGGGTACCTGAGTCACCCGGCCGATCAGGATCAGCCCCAGGCCTCCTGCTCCCAGCCCAGAGCTCTCGGCCCTGTTCCTTGGTGCATCCATCACAGCCTAATCTAACTTTCCACCCCTCTCTTGTCCTCAACAGGAACAACTGCCCTGGATGTCGTATCTCAGCATCGTGGCCATCTTTGGCTTTGTGGCCTTCTTTGAAGTGGGCCCTGGCCCCATCCCATGGTTCATTGTGGCTGAACTCTTCAGCCAGGGTCCTCGCCCAGCTGCCATTGCTGTGGCTGGCTTCTCCAACTGGACCTCAAATTTCATTGTGGGCATGTGCTTCCAGTATGTAGAGGTGAGAATCCCCAGTCTCCATGCTTACGGTTCTTCCACGCAGGACCCCGCACTGTTGTGCAAAGTGCTCTCCTAGCTCTTCTCATTAGAGTCCTGTGGAGGAGGAAACTGAGGTTCAGGAGCCCAGGCCACAGCTAAAAATGCTGACCGCAATTCCAGGGTTCTCTCCTTAGCTTTGAATGGTCTCCCTTCTGCTCTGCAGGGGGACCCTGCTCCCAGGAGCCCATTACAGGCCAGGTGCAGGCAGGCTCATTGAGTCATCCTAGCATTCCTGGGTTGTGGGTAGCTGTTCCCTTTTTCAGATCAAAGGCCCCAAGTCCTACAGGCCAACGTTCTACAGCCAGGCTGTAGGGTCAGTACTCCAACCAAGTGTATGTGTGTCTTTCAGCAACTGTGTGGTCCGTACGTCTTCATCATCTTCACCGTGCTCCTGGTTCTGTTCTTCATCTTCACCTACTTCAAAGTTCCCGAGACCAAAGGCCGGACCTTTGATGAGATTGCTTCTGGTTTCCGGCAGGGGGGAGCCAGCCAAAGTGACAAGACACCCGAGGAGCTCTTCCACCCCCTGGGGGCCGATTCCCAAGTGTGAGGCGCCCCACACCACCAGCCTGGCCTGCTCCCAGCAGCTCCAAGGATCTCTCGGAGCACAGGCAGCTGGATGCGATTTCCAAACTGACAGATTTCAGCAGAGCTGGGCCTGGGGCTCCTTTGTTCAGCCAACAATGATGTCCAGAAGAGTATTCAGGACTTCTATGGCTCCAGGATTTTAACAAAAACAAGACTGTTGCTCAGATCTATGCAGACAAGCAACAAGTTTTATAATTTTTTTATTACTGATTTTGTTACTATTTTTTTATCAGCCAGAGTCCCCTGTATCTACACCCCAGACTTCACCCCGAATGGCTCAGTACCTGAAGGTGGGGACCAAGTCCTGCCTAGACACTTGCCTTCTTCACCACGCTAATCTGTAGGGCTGGACCTATGACCAAGGACACACTAATCGAACTATGAACTATGCGGCTTCTACCCCAAGAAGTAGCTGTGGCCACTCTCTTCTGAGGCCTGGATCTTCCTACCCTGAGGATCAGGCTCCACTAGGGTTCGCCCTTATCCATCTCTTCCTGCCCAACCACTCAAAGTAATTTTGCCGTGCCTGAGACCAGTTGGGAGCACTGGAGTGCAGGGAGGAAAGGGGAAGGGCCAGACTGGGCTACCAGCTTCTAGTCTCCTTTGCACTGAGGGCCAGACGATCACCATGAGGAGGGCCATGGGAGGCTGAGAATTCACTGCTCAAGAAGACATGGACACTCCTGCCCTGCTGTGTATAGATGGAAGATATTTATATATATTTTTTGGTTGTCAATATTAAATACAGACACTAAGTTATAGTATATCTGGACAAACCAACTTGTAAATACACCACCTTACTCCTTCTGTAACTTACCTAAACAGATATAAATGGCTGGTTTTTAGAAACACGGTTTTGAAATGCTTGTGCTTTAAGGGTAGGGAGATTTGGATGGGAGAGGAGCACCTGCTACAGTGACTCTGGGTTTTGTGACTCGAGCTTCCAAGCACTTCTGATCAGCACCCTCTGCTGCTTAGTCCAGGGCCACACGGCCCTGAATGCACCTGACCTCATCTGATCTCCAAAAGCTAAGCAGGGTCCGGCCTGCTTAGTACTTGGATAGGAGACCCTTATTGCTTAAAAATCTGTATGGTCCCCCTTATTCAGAGAAAATCAAAATATCCTGGCACTCGAGGCATTTCTATTTCACATGATAACTGGTATTCAAAAATGATAGTTAAGTGCCAACCTTCGTGCTCAGGCCTTGATATGCATTATCTTGAATGTGTGGTCTGTGCTATATCTGCATTTGACAGGCTCGGAGAGGCCTGAAATCTCCCAGCAAGCCATGCTAGAACCCCTATTTTAACAACACTACACAACCCGTACCCCATACCTGACCCCTCCTACCAGCACCCCCTCCCCGCAGTGGGCCCAGTGAACAGGGTCAAGCGCCCCTCCCCCATCCTTTTCACTTGGCGATGCCCCCTCCAGCTGATAGGCCACTGTGGCCTCTTCTAAGACTTCTGACCCCCTTTCCCACCCCGGAATCTCAAGAGGTTCACCTGTTCCTTTCCTCGGGCACTGTGCCCTTCCACCCTGTACCGACAACTCCTCGGTTCTCCCTCTAACCAACTTGGTGGAAAGAAGTCCATTTGGTTCATCTGCGTCTCTGGCATGAAAGGCGGCATTGGCACACAGCAGGCACTCGGGAAACCGTCGATGAAATGCAGCACCAGGGAGATTTGTCCCTAGAGGTTCAGCCGAGAGGATCCGGGGCGGGGATTTGCCTGGAGACGCCCTCAGACCTGCGCTCAGGCAAAACCGTAAAAGTCCCTCGGCACGAAGCGTGGTCGTGGGAGGGAGACGGGGAACCGGGCCCTTGGCAAACGAAGTGCCTCTGCCTCTTACCATCGGGTACTCAGGTCTCAGTCCTCCATCCGCGTCTCACGAACGAGGGGGCGTGGCTCAGGGAGGGGTTCGCGGAGGCGGACTTCCCCCGGGCGCATCCTTCCTGTGAGCTTCGAGGGGCCCTGGAGGGGCAGTGCAGAGAGGAGAGCCCGGGAGCCGTTCCCGCGGGGCGCACCGGAGGCCGGAGCTCCAGGATGCGGCGGCGGCGGCGCCGGCGCCCACGAGCCCCCCGCCCCGCGCGGCCCCGGGCCCCTCCCGCCCCGGCCTCGCCCCTCCTCGCCCCTCCTCGCCCGGTGCGCGGCGCGCGCAGGCGCCGGGAGCCCGGGCCCGCCCCAGCCGCGGCCCACAATGCTCCGGGAGGCGCAGCTTCCGTGCCCCCGCCGCCCTAGCCGCTCGGGGCCGCCGAGCCCCGCGCCGCCGCGCCGCGCCCCGCACCGCCGCGCCGCGCCCCGACCCGCCGCGCCCGCAGGCCCCGCAGGCCCCAGCGGCGGGGCTCCCGGACCGGCTCCCCGACCCGCTCGCCTCGCCGGAAGGGGGCGGGACCCCGCGGCGGCTCCGCCAATCAGCCGCGCGCTGGCTGGCGAGGGGGCGGGGCCCGGGCCTCCACCAATCAGAGCCTGGCCGCCGGGGCCGCACGCGGGAGGCGGGTCGGCGCAGGGCGCTGGGGGCTGTCGCTGCCCCGGGGGTCGCGGTCGCCCTGGGGGTGACCCTACGGCTCCCGACGGAAAGGGGCAAGGAGGTAAGGAGGCTGCCCCCGGCCGCCGTCCTTTCCCGGGCTTCGCTAAGCTCGCCGGCGCTTTGAGAGATGCTCCATCTGCTGTCCCTGGGCCCGGGTGGGGCGCCCGCCGCGGCCTCCCTGTGCTCCGGCAACTGCGCAGGCGCAGCCCGCCCTCCCCGCGGACCCGGGTCCCCCCGCAGACTCTGGGCGGGGGCTGCGGAGGGACCCCATGGAAGTCCACGACCTCGAGTTCCTCCGGTGCAGTTCTGGGCGGAAAATCCAACAATTCGGCATGTGCACGTAATAAGAGGGAACGAACATTCATTCCCTTCTGTTAAAACAGCATTTTTAACCATCTGGCTCGTTCCGCCCACGGCGCTTGCTGGCCCTCGTCCTCCCCCGGCATCACGGCAGCACGTCCTCGCTGTTCCCTCTCCTCTCTGTCTCCCCTTATTCTCCACACTGCAAATCTTTTTTTTTTTTTTAAGGTTTATTTTTAAGGAATCTCTATAACCAGTGTGGGGCTTGAACCCACAACCCCACGATCAAGAGTTTCATGCCCGACGGACCGAGTCAGCCACGCACCCCTGCACATCTCTCCAAAATGCACCTCTGGTCATGTCTCTCTCCTACTTAACACCTTGCCTGGGTCCGCATTTCCCCTGGGATAAGGTCTAGCTTCCTTAGGCCAGAAATTCAAGGCCGTTCAGGATCAGAGTCTCGCGCCCAGAAGCAGCCTCGTCGCTGCTCATCACCACTGCCCCCACCTCACCCCAACCATCCTCTAGGCACTGATCACGCTGTCCTCTGACCTCCGCATACTCCTTCCCCTGTTGGGCCTCATCCGCTCAGATCACCCCCTGCCATCTATACTCTTGTTTTCCACCAGGTGATCTATGCCATCGTCGCCCTGGGGGAAGCTGCTCCTTGGGACGCTGCTGCCAACTAGTGGCTGTTGTGCTCAAAGTTTCTCATGAAGTGTCTCTGATACTTGAGGTACTTCAAGTTATTAGAAGTATCATCAAGATTAGATTTATTATTTTTTTAAGATTTAATTTATTCATGAGAGACACAGAGAGAGAGGCAGAGATACAGACAGAGGGAGAAGCAGGCTCCATGCAGGGAGCCCTATGCGGGACTAGACCCGGGTCTCCAGGATCACGTCCTGGGCCAAAGACAGACACTCAACCACTGAGCCACCCAGGCGTCCCAAGATTGGATTTAAAATCAAATTTTAAACAAGGCATATCAAAGTATTTGGGGCTTATCATTTTTTTCCGTACACCTTAGTGCAGATTGTGATATAATTTAGTATGTCTCAGTCCCCCCAACACACTGAGGATAGGGGTTAGAAGTACAGGCTCTGGGGGCATATTGCCCAGACACAAAGTCCCATCACTTTTTATTATCTTTTTACAGAGGTGGGAGTGAGAGCTAAGACAAGGGACACAGGTAAGAATATTTACCCCAGAGATCTTCGAGGATTAGGCAAGGCCAAGTGGTATACTCTTCATGTACTGCTTGACCAGATACATAATAAAAAATAAGAACTTTTATTTCCCAACCCTTTTTTCTCCACCTGGGTCATCTCTTTGAGTTCTGCTTTCTGTTGTTTAAATAATCCTCCAAACTGAATGCCAGCTGAGAGGAAGCCAAGGTGAGCGTGGGCTTCTCTCCTCTCTCTGCTTGGAGGTTATATATATTTATGGCCACAATGATCCCTGGTGGCCTACTTTCTATCTTTAATACCAATAGCAGCTGGTGTTTAGATAATGAGTACTATTTGTCAACCACTGTTCTAAATCTATGACATCGATTAATACGTTAGATCTTTAGAAACACCCGAGGGGGTAGATACTATTATTATTATGCCCCTTGTCAAGATGAGGCAACTGTCCTTGGGCTGCCAACAGAACTATGCTCTCTACACTCTCTTAACCAGCCTCCCATTCTGTCATGGTTGAGCTGCCTCCTTTGAAATCCAATCAAGAGGAAAAACTGGTCTTATCTCCCATCCCTCTGCTCAACAAAGAGGCAGTTTTTATTTCTATTTATTGCTGAACAAATTGAGACATAAAGGGGTCAAGCAGTTCTTTTCTTGTCAGCTCATCATTGGAGTGGGGAGGGCGGTGCTCTATGCTCTTCACCAAGTGCAACTGCTTGTGTATGTGAAATGTGGGGCTGAGAACAGGACTTGGAAATAGGAAGCATAGAACCTTAATTGAAGTAATGCTGCATATGACTCTGTGACTCGGTTTTTCTTTTTTTAATCTATGAAAAGAGGATAATAACTGAACATATACCATCACAGTGTTGTGAATGTTGGATGAGAAGAGACTAATGGTACCTGGCTCACAGCAAGTGCTCACTAAATGGTTACATGATGATGATGATGATGATTATATAGCCAACTTATGCTGGCTTTCTTAAAAACCACTTAGATCAAAAGCAACCAGGTCAAAAATCTATAAGGTTGTTCTTTTATTCGTTGGGCAATAGGTGCTGGAGCTTAGGCAAGCTTTAGCCTTTCATTTTATACTTTCAAAAATCACGTCTAACTCTTGGAGATATATCTTCAGAGGCACTTCTATAAGGTATATTTCAAGTCAAGTCATTTATGGGAAAAGATTTATTGTTCTCTGAGTAAACTGAAATACCTCTTCAACCAAGTCCACTTCCTCCAGAGTCTTCCCATTTCAGTTCTTGTCACTCAGATCTGGGATTACCAGTCCTTCCTGCTGGATAGCCTTGGAGACTACACATTGCAGAAGGAATACTTAACCTGTCATTTAAGGTTTTGTACTTGCTGGCCTGCTTTTTCTTACACCCTTCCCTCTTGCTAATATCCCCTAGTAATCTGTAAATTTTTTTGCTTTAAAGTCTATTTTGTCTGATATTAGGAGAGTAATATTTACTCACCTTTGGTTACTATTTGTGTGGAATATCTTTTTCTGTCTCTCACTTTCAATCTATTTGTGTCTTTGGATCTAAAGTGAGTCTTTGGTAGAAGCATCTAGTTGGATCAAATGTTTTTATTCATTCTGCCAGTCTGTCTTTTAATTGGAGAATTTAACCCATTTACATGTAAAGTAATTATCAAGAAGGAGGGACTTACTTCTATTGTTTTGCTGTTTGTTTTCTATATGCCCCATAGCTTTTTTTTTTTTTTTTGGCTCTTGTTTCCTGCTTTACTGTCTTCTTTTGTGTTTAGTTGATTTCATTTCTAAGTAAAATGTTTAAATTCCTTTCTCTTTTGTTTATTTTGTTTATATTCTGTAGCTATTTTCTTTGTGGTTACCATGGCGATTGCATTTAACATCCTAAAGTTTAGGATGTTAAATTCTCATTTGAATTTATAACAGTCTAACTTTAATAAGATACAGAAACTCTGTTCCTTTGTAATTCTCTCCCCACTGCTTTTGGTTGTTGATGGCAGAAAATTACATCTTTATACATTGTGTGCCCCAAAACATAAACTATAAACTAATAATTTTTCAAAATTCTTCAGCCTCTTAAATTATGTTAAAAACAAAATTTGGAGTAATAAACCAAAGTTATAATAACACCAGCTTTTAAACCAATAATTAGTTTTTTTCTTTAAATTTATTATTATTGGGCAGCCTGGGTGGCTCAGTGGTTTAGCATCGCCTTCAGCCCAGGGCCTGATCCTGGAGACCCGGGATCAAGTCCCATGTCGGGCTCCCTGCATGGAGCCTGCTTCTCCTTCTGCCTGTGTCTCTGCCTCTCTCTCTCACTCTCTCTCTCTCTCTCTCTCTCTCTGTGTGTGTGTGTCTCTCACGAATAAATAAATAAAATCCTTTAAAAAATTTATTATTTATTTAGCCTTATGAATACACTTCTAGGCACATGCACGTTCTTGAAAAATTTTTTTAATTTAAATTCAGTTAACATATACCGTATTATTAGTTCCAGGGGTAGAATTTAGCGATTTGTCAATTGTGTATAACATCGAGTGCTCATTACATCGAGTGCCCTCCTTAATGCAGTCACAAACCACTGTTACAATAACGCTAGCTTTTGTAATTACCATGTATTTACTTTTATTGAGTTTTCTTTCTTTTCTTTTTTAAACCTTTTATTTGTTATTCATGAGAGACACAGAGATAATAGGCAGAGGGAGAAGCAGGCTCCCTGCCGGCAGCCCAATGAGGGACTTGATCCCAGGACCCCAGAATCAGGACCTGAGCCCAACGTAGACACTCAACCACTGAACCACCCAGGTGCTCCTTTATTGAGTTTTCTATTTCTGCATATGGCTTCAGTTAATGTTTGGTGTCAATTCCACCTCACAGGACTCCCTTGAGCATTTCTTGAAGATCAGATCTAGTGATCACAAATTCCTTCAGCTTTTGTTTATCAGAGAATATCTTAATTTCTCCTTCCCCTTTGAAAGACATTTTTGTCACATGTAGATCCTGGTTGGCAGTTTTTTTTTTTTCTTTGAACACTTTGAATATGTTGGCCTACTGACTCCTGGCCTCCAAGGTTTCAGATGAGAAATCTGGTTATGATCTTATTGAGGATTCCTTGTATTTGATGATTTGTTTCTCTCCTGCTGCTTTTAAGATTCTCTCTTTGTAAAAAAAAAAAAAAATTCTCTGTCTTTGCCTTTTGAAAGTTTGATCTTATGTGTCTCAGTGTGGTTCTCTTTGAATTCTTCTTACTTGGAGTTCATGGAGCTTCCTAGATGTTCATATTCACTTCTTTCATCAAATGTGGGAAGTTTTCAGCCATTATTTCTTCAGATATTCCCTCTGTCCGTTTCAGCCATTATTTCTTCATTTCTTTTTTTTTTTAAAGATTTTATTTATTTATTCATAGAGACGCAGAGAGAGAGAGAGAGAGAGAGGCAGAGACACAGGCAGAGGGAGAAGCAGGCACCATGCAGAGAGCCTGACGTGGGACTCGGGAGTCAATCCAGGATCTCCAGGATCACGCCCTGGGCTGCAGGCGGCACTAAACCACTGCGCCCCAGGGCCTGCCCAGCCATTATTTCTTCA